TTTGCTCGGAAGAGAGGAGGACCTCGGTGCATTAGATTAGGTTTTATGAGTAGGTATTAAGTACGGTGGTCGACTGCATTGGAAAAATTGGTCTAAGCGGCCTCGATAATTTATGATTTGAGGTTTGTTGATCTGCAACGGCTGTATTTATGTGATATCGGCTAGCTGAAGGCCTGGAGGAGAGGTCGGTTGTAATAATTAACTGTTCGTCATATCCCGATTCAGTGATTTAGACACAGAAAAATGAGGTCGTTTCTTGTAAATTTGGTACAGGCTTTCTTCAAGGAAGATTACTACTTTATTATTGTGATTTGGGCATCATGATTATTTTGTGGTAGCATACCTTTATCCTCTGCGGAGTTGGCTGTTTGGCTGTGTACATCGCAAACAATCACCCTTGGGGAATGAAAAAGAGCTATTTATTCTTGCACTTGCACTTCATCTTTATTAGTGCGTCATTTCGTGATGATTATAATTGTTAGGAATCTCTTAGGATCTTTTTTAGTCGCACTATTTTGAAGTCTAATATGTGTGTTCTTTCCTTGGTTCTCTTACCCGCCACCGATTGTGATGTCATTTTAATTTCCATGCACTCTTGATCAATAATGACATAAATCAGACATTAATCTGCATGGATGGACGAGAAAAGAAGAGATCGCTTTAACAGAGTCAAGGGAACGATTTCATTTCTACATCAAAAAAATCGGGAATAGCTCAATGGTCAGAGGAGCTGTTGTTGTATTCTTGCTTGACATCTAAATGCCTTCGCAATCTAACATTCTCCTCGGACGAGTCTCCTCACATTGGTCCTCAGTTTCTACTTACATCGAATCTCCCTCCTCTATATTAAACTAGATTAGATTATAAAAATTCTACTGTTGCGAAACTTACATCGAATCTCCTTCCTCTAGATTAAACTAGATTAGATTATAAAAATTCTACCGTTGCGAAAAAAAAAAAAAAAGAGTCTTCTCAATAGCCATCCAATGAATCCAAGCCGAAAGGCTATACGCGCTAAAGGGTTTAAAGCCAGACAAAATATTACGGACGAAATTACAGGACTGGGGTAATCCAATCAGATCCCCGGTCCTGAAAATGACAGCACGAATCCTTGTTGCAACAAAGCATTACTGCATTAGCAATACATATTCAGATTGTTTCTTGTAAGAAGCTCTTGAAAAAACCTACGGAAAAAAAAAGCTTCTCTCTTTTCTTGTGGTGGTGGTGTTCTGTTCTATACAAAAAGTAATACTGGAGGCTTGTGAGGAGCCATTATTGAAAATTTTACATGAAGAAAGATCAATACCATTACGCTGAGCTAATCGTGCTTTTCTTTTCGAAAAGAAAATCGGGCAACAGAAGCTCGAGCTCGTCCACGAGGGACTTCTTGTCGCTTCTTGTTCTTCAGATAGAGGCCCGGGGAAGATGATGATGAAGCCTTGGGATCACGCAAGATACAAACATCACCATTACATACAAATCGCCTGGACTCTTCTGACGACTCCCTGAAGCAATTCATGAAATTCAAGAAAGCCATGGACATGAAGATTCAGAAACAATCAACAGATAAAATGATTGTTGTAATATGTCTGGCCTCTCAGCTGTGTTCTTGAGATCCATGGAATGCTTTATATAGGACGTGTAGACGAATGAATGGGGAGTATGAAATGGCAACAGCAAATTGAATGGTTCCATGTGATAGAAAAGTCGCCACAGGCAAAATCAGGAGTGAGGTCAAACTTAAGAGGGGTCCAAGGAACATAACATCGGCTCTGGTCGACAATTTTGACAAGAGAATATTATAATCAATCAATGAGTTGTTTCAGATTTTTAGGGCTGAACAAATGGTGCAGAAGAAATAGGTCCAAAGCCACGTCTGGAGTCTGGACTGAGTATGGATGGAGTCTTCTTTGTGGTCTCTGACCAGCATAAAATAGACCTAATAATCTCTAAATTTTTGTCATTATATTATTCCTGTCTATATAACTCGATTAATACTCAAAATTTTTTAGTAATCATTTTATTTCAAAACTTTTAGGACAAAATTTACGATTAATTACATTTGGTAATTAGTTGTTCTTTTTCTTCTCTTATTAGAACTGGGGCTTCAACCCACAGCCTTCTATCGTATTCTTTTTTTTTTTTTTTTTGTCGATACAGGGGTGTCCGGGTCAATCCTTACGGGGCCCGACTAATCTCCTGTTGTCTGGGAGAGGAGGCCGCACTCCACACCGAACACGTTAACAGCGGGACTCGAGCTCTGAACAAGCCAGAAAGGTCGCCATACCCTAAGGAGGGGGAGCGAACCACTCGAGCTACCCCGTGGGAGTAAAGACCAGCCACGTAAGGTGGTAAATTGTGGGAGGCAGGGGTTGAACCCCTGACCTCCAGCATCCCAAAGAAATGGATGACCACCGGACCAAATGGCCAGTGGCCTTCTATCGTATTCAATCAGTGGGAACATAGCCCAGAGAAATGAAGAAAGCTGAAATAATTGACAAACAATATTATAATAGCGCGACGTGCTGGTATCTTTCTGGTCTAGCAATACGAGTGGATAATGGATATTGTCATATTGTTGTCGTGTCCCATCACGTTTTTCTTTTTTGGTTTTATACGCGTCTTCGCGGAAAGCTTGGAGAACAAAAAATCGTTTCAGTCTGGGTAGGTGGAGACTAGTGTGAGTCGCAAAAATCAAATGAAAAAAAAAAAAAAGTAGTATTCTACGATTAAGCCTTTTTTTTTGTTGGGGGGTGATAATATGTTCAGATATGGCAAACCGTCAATATTGGCTCCTAAAAGCAAAAAATATGAAGGCTGAAAAGTCACGTATACTTGAAATTTACAAAAAAAAATTTGGATTTGTAGAAGGTGATGATGCCTTAGGGTGACAATCAAGGGTCGACATAGGGAGGATTGAGACCCAAGTTCTTGATAATTTGTTTTCTTTCAAATAGATAATTGAAATTTTTTTTAATTTAAGATTTTTGTCCCCTTAAAGATTTATAGTTATTTTATATCGCATGCTTAGATTTAGATGTATTACAATTCGTGTCTTCGACATCAACTTTATGGTTTCGACCTGTTATGATACAGGTAAACATTTGCATCATACAATAAATAAATGGTTAATTCCACTTTGTCCCCCAAACTTTGGACGATTATCCACTTAAGTCCCTAAACTTCAAAATGGGACACTTAAGTCCCTAAACTTATAAATACCTCCCACTTAAATCCCTGAACTTATAAAATGGGACACTTAAATCCCTAAACCCTTATAAAATGGGACACTTCGACCACCAACAGCATTCAGGATTTGTTAACAATTTTCCTTAAGTGGGAGGTATTTATAAGTTTAGGGACTTAAGTGTCCCATTTTGAAGTTTAGGAACTTAAGTGGATAATCGTCCAAAGTTTGGGGGGACAAAGTGGAATTAACCCTAAATAAATTGTTTTAACTAGTGCTAGTGCCTAAAAGTAAATTCTTTATTACAAAAACGTTGTCCTACTAACCATTATCCTCATTCCAGCTTTCATTTTGTTGGAAAATATCGATTTTCATCTCTAAACTTTAGACTATAAACACATTTAGTTCTCAAACTTTCTGCCGCAACACAATTTAGTATTTAAACTATCAAATTTTGATCAACTTCATACTCAAATGAAAAATTAGTCAATTTGAACAAAATTTGAGTTGGAAGAGCGAAGATCGCTATTCTATTTTACTGATTTTAAATTGTGCAAGTCTTTTTACTTCTTTTCTATATCATGCATAATGTAACGCTGAGAGCATTAAATATACAGCCAATCACTGGGGAGTCAGATTCAAATGAAGATAAGCGATTACCCCTCCTCAACTTTGAAGAATTCTCATTGTTTGCTTTAATATTGTCCAAAAACTACATACACTTTTCAAAAATAGTCCTATATTCTTTTATTTTGCTCCCTTAGTTCTTGAAGTCTACAATTATCACTTACTTTAAAAATAATGACATGTCCCAAAGGAAACCAAATATTAGTTGAAAATTTAAAAAAAAGGAATTTTAATAAATGAACCTAAAAACTTTGCTGTCTATTGTAAAAAAAAAAAAAGTAATTATCATGTAGGTGTTTCAATATTATTATAAAAGGGAAGATTGGGTCAGATGGTAAAATGAGAGAGGTGATAAGAAAGATTTAAAACAAAATAGATTACCCTCCCTAACCTCGATCTAACCCCGCCGCTGCAACCAATCAAATATCTTGTTGCATTGTTTTGAAACTGGACTTATCTGGCCGCATTTTCTTTCGGGACCTATCACAGACAGCATCCACAAAACGTCTGAGAAAAAAGCGCAAATAATTTAGCAAAATTCTGATCTGGCCTTTGCCTAAATAAAGATGCAAATCCTGTCTAAATCCCTGGCTTTTCCCTAATCCCCCATGCTTTTCCCACCATAATCTGTCTCTTGCTTTCAGAACTTCGTTACCTCAAAAAATCACGAGTTAGGTGTTAATGACAACTATTAACGATCTTAATCAGCAAAAATGTCGCAAATCACTACAAGAATAAGACCAGATTTTTCCGGATCAAAATTCCGTTCCTTTCTTAAAGAATTCGTTCATTTGCATTGACATTTCATATTCTAAGAACAACCCATTAAGGATTCAACTGTTTCCTTGAAGGGTTTTGCAAGGAGGAGGAATCTATATACATGTCAGAACAAATTTAGTCTTGAAGAAAAACCCAGAATAAAAGCAAAAATAGACTTTCCAGAGCTGCATTTGTCTCGCAATCCAAGATCTGTTAAATTCTTGATGACACAAAATGGGGTGGAAGGATGCTTGTTAGGAAGCACCAGCTGCAACCTGGTTTGGTGGTTGCCGGAAGTAAGCTCCGGCGGCCCATTTGACGGCGGGAAGTCCAAGTTAAAGGACCAGCCTTGCATGCTGGAAGAGGGTGACGATCTTGACATCCAAGGTCCTCTCGAAAATGAGGGAGGTAGAGCAGCTGCGGGGACGAGGGAGACGTGATGGTGGTGAAAAAAGGGCCGTGGTCGGCTGAGGAGGATGAGAGGCTGAAAAAGTGTGTGGAAGAGCACGGGATAGGGAACTGGATAACCATAGAGAAGTATTCAGGGTTGGGTAGGACATCAAAGAGCTGTAGACTTCGGTGGACTAATCATCTAAGGCCAAATCTTAAAAAGGGCTCTTTTACCAAACAAGAAGAGAGACTTGTGGTCAAATTGCACAAAAAATATGGTAACAAATGGTCATACATATCCTCCAAGGTACCTCCTATCGTAGTATTGTGCGTACGTACATGTATAGCTGCAATTTATTTTCTGTAAATGCTGACTGTGTGATATTTGTGCAATCTTCTGTTTTATGTGTTTGGTGTTATTCTTTATACAACTATTTTAGATGGTTACCTGCAGCCCTTCTTGTTTCAAACACAATGTCTCTTTCACCCTGTTGATGTCTCTTTATTCTTCTGACGAGTGAGTCTTAATTGTACTTTGCAAATGCATGAGTTCGGTACATTGTAATCTTGGGATTAGGTTTTGGTGCATTTTGTGTTGTAATTTGTGGTACTTGATTCGTTGCATTTCTGGATTTAGGCCCAAGATCAATGTCAAAGTTGCAAGTGAATTGCTTTTTGAAACTTATTGGTACAATTTAGATATAGCCAAATCATTCTCCTTCCATCTAGCGATTCATACTTGACTCTGAAATGTGAACCATTATGTCTCGCTTTAATTTGTATGTTGTCTTCTGTGTGATTATTCACTCTTGACGCTTTTGAGGGGTATGTGCAGCTACCAGGGAGAACAGACAACGAGATCAAGAATTTTTGGCATGGAAGGGTGCGAAGGTGTCGAAGAAAATTCCTACCTATCTACCCAGAGGACATTGAGGATGGTGGATCACGTGGAGATGGCTTAGATACTGATGGGAAGAACAATATCAATGACAATGATCATAACTCCAGCGCCAAGAATGGTACTAACAGTATTCCTTCATTCCCCTCCATTACGTTGCCTGAATTTCAGCCCCACTATCACTTTCTGTTCCCTTCCAACAGCAACCAAGTCCTGTAATAAATCAAAACCCTGCTTCATTCTTTACTCCACTGCCTCGAACTCGGCTCCTCTCTCCACAAGAGAAGCCACTCCCATCACCACATGGCTTCTTATCTTCACATTACCCAAGCCCTGCATGCTATCCAACTCACATTCCTCAATCACCCCTTAGTACACCTTCCCAAACTCAATACCACTCAATTCAAAGATCCCAATCAACTGAAACCCCTGATACAACACTCCAGAATCCACTTTTATCATTGCCACCAGACTGCTCATCTATACATCAGTCCAACTCCCCTACTGGTCCTGCATTCACACCTTTGAAACCTCCACCAGTTCTATCCCCTTACGTTGGTTATCTCAAGGGATCTCGAGGAAGCTCCAGCCTGCAGTCTTCACCAACTGCAGTAACTCAATCTTCGGCTCCTGCACAAGGGAGCTCTATCTCAGCAAAAGGATCTTCAGCACCTTCCCCCAAGATAGACGTTTCATCTTCAGTTACTTCTTCTCAATTTAGCTCAACCGCAACAGGATCCCTAATAAATTCTCCTAAACTGCATCTATCCGTACAACTGCCTACCGCATCTTCTGTCCCACTGCAGACTTCATCCCTGCCTTCTGCTCTTTCTTCTAGTAATCTGAACTCACCCAAAATACATGATCCCATGATAGCATCTCCACATTCTCCCCTCCGTTTGAACTTAACAAGCTCAATACCATTAGATTCCCATCTCCAACACAATCGATGTGCATCACCATTTCTGTTATCTTCTCAGTCATGGAATGCATCAAAAGCAGAGCCCCCTTCAGTCCAAACTCCAACATCTGCCTTGAGACCTACCCCTGAGATGAAAGACAGTGAAAGAAGCGTTGCGGTATTGGATGCTCCATTGCAGGAAGCTCAAGCAAAGACAGACACCTTGCACAAGAATTCACCAGAAGAACTGTCTGTTGATGGATACCTGATAAACAATGACCTGCAAGGAAAGATATTGGTGACGGAATCTATCAGGGACAATGTGTTTTATCAAAGCTCAAGCGAAAGAGATTTCTCTTGCGAAAAGCCAAGAACAATAAACTTGCTGGGTCAAAGCTTGAAGCAAGAGAATACAACAAGAGAAACGCCAAAGACTGAAGATTTAATAAACAAAAGGTCATGTAAAAAAGTTTCGCATGATAAATGCTTAAAACCAGGAATTTTAATGGGGAAAATATCCAGAAGACAAGGTTTATTAAGTGAAATATCAAAGACGGGAGTTCTGTTAGTTGAAAGTGAGAAGAAACAAATTTTGTTGCAGGAACTCATGAATAACAATTTGACACAAGACGTTTTAGCAAGACAAAGTTCAAAGACTGTGGACCTGCAGTTGGGCAGACTCACTAAGACAACAAAGCTATTTGGTGAAAGGGTGAGTATTGAAGATCCATTGAGTCAAATCTCTGCAAGAAAAAGTTCAGTGGTCAAAAATCAGAGGAAGGTGTGTCCACATTTGAAAACTTGACAAGTTTGCGGAACCAAAACTTGGTAGAAGATATTCTTGATATTAGCCCAACGAGGTCAACGTCTAATCGTGACACATTTGGTTTCTCTTACAGCCCAAAAGACACGACTACACAGTTCATATCAGATGATTTGCAATGGAACTTAAGCTCTGGTCAAGTTGTTGCTGGTGAAGTTTGTAATGAGATCTTGAGGGGAGGTGCACCATTGGCTTCACAATTGCAAGAGCATCAAATTGAGACATTTGGTCCTGTATTCAGCCACAGGCCTGAGCTGGTTTTGTCTAATTTTGGCTATGATGGGGGAGGTAAATCGACATGTGGTGAATTCTATGAAGGTGATCACTTGGATAAAAGCTCAAGGGAAAAATGTCCCGACTCTCCCAAAGGAGAATTTATAGAGGACCAGTCCCAAGGTGGTCAAGTTGTTAGTGGAGGTTTTATGACAGAAGGTTTGTTGGTTTCGCAAAACTGGCACGAAATTCTACGAGGGTCAATTTCGGACCTTGACCAATATATCACGGCCAATTTGTTGAGATCACCAACTCCAGATGGTAAACTGAACACTCCTCAAGAATGTGGAGGTGGTATCATGGAAGATCCTCTAAGCATAGAAGGTTCATCAAGCAGAAGCTTGAAAAATGGAGTTTCCCTGGATCAAAGCTCACGAGATATATTTCTTGGAGAAAGCTCAAGCGCAAATGTAATTGGATTGCATGAGGTGGCTTTAACTGAGTTTGTTTCACCAACTAGGCAAACCACTGTAGCCCACCTGTTGACATCTCGTGATCAATTTAGTGAGGCTGGCTCTTCACAGTGCTATGAAGGTGAGTAATGTTTTCATTTCCTGATATGGGAATGAATATGGCAGAAAAGTACCTAAGAATACTAAGAACTTACCATAATTTGTTCATGGTTGAATCATTCCATTCCCACCATTCAATACCATAAGCATTTGGTGTGGATTTTGTATTCTCAAGTCCTGGAAATTGGTTTATCTTGTCCATTGGATATAGGGTCTAAATATAGTTTATTTGCATCATCATATTGTCTACAGAATACTACCTTCTTCTTTGGCCTTGGACAATAATTTACCATGCTGAGAAGCAACTGATGCAATGGCTTATTTTCTTCTAAGCTCAACTTAGTAATTGGAGAACAATGCATAAAGCTCCTATTCTGATTTACAACTTCCATTTTTGCCCGTGTCATTTTAATTGTAACTTCTTTTTATAATTGGTTGGCCATGCTACAGGTCTTTTATATGTTGTTAACTTGCTGTGTTCCCCTAAACCTTCAGGAGTAAAGTTAAAGCAGGAGATAGAGGAACCCCATCCCTTGCCTGAAGAACTATCCAGCTTGCTGGAATTTTCCCCGACCACCTTACCAGATTGGCATGACATTGGTTGTGAAACTTCAAGCATAATGGACATCACTTTTGGGCTTGAGATGTATCACCTTCATCCTATCATGAGATAGGACCTTAAATGAGGTAAAAGTTTGGTTTCTGCAGTAGTCTTGCATAAGGTTAACTCGAGACATTTTGAACTCAAATGTTCTCACTGTTGACTCAGCAGTTAAAACATTCAACAGTGAGAAACATTTTGGTTTCAATTAATAGGTAAAAGCGTGTCTCTTGAATTAGGATTGTTGGGTTTAGAGCACGGGTGAACTACACTCATAAATCAAATATAGTATGTAGCTAGATTTCTTTAGCGCTGGCAATGTACTTTTGATTTGAACCAACGGCGAATTTAAGTCTTGATCATCTTCCTCTTTTTTCCCCACCATAACCTTCCGGGAGAGCTTATCCTTATGGCTGATCAAGAGTGTTTGCTGACAAGTTTGGGTAGATAACGTTGCTTTGAAACAAGCTGAAGCACTTCCAAGGTTGACGCTGAATCCGTCCAGTGCGAGGATGTCATTGTTTAGTTTAGAACAAGCTGAAGCACTTCCAAGCTCGTCCAGTGCGACAATGTCATCGTTTAGTTTAGAAATATGCAGTAAACAATGAAATTAGTTTGTCTTCTTTCTCTATGTGTAATAGAAGTTCTTCACCAATGTTCCTAGTAGTTTAGATGCCCTTCGCGGCGAGACAACGATCCATGCTTTTAATTTTTATTGTGAGCTATTATAGCACACTGGTATTCTCGCACAATAGCACTTCGACGCAGAATGCGTTGCTGAAATTGGTGAAATGCAGAACAAAGAAAAAGATTACACCTAATCGATTCTTGTAACTGAAACAACTATATGCCCTGAAGTATAATCCACAGACAAAAGTTTCCGCATGGAAAATGGATCTTTACCAGCCTACATCAGCTCCAATCCTCACTCACCAAATAGACCAACAACGGTGCTGCCATAGCCGCCTCACACCAAAGAAAACCTACTTAACATTTCGTGATATCCATTTTTTTTTTTCAGCATCTAGCTGGTCGTAGAGAATTCAGATTTGGGATTAAAATGCCAGTATCATCACACACCACATTAGCCCTTTCTTCCACCTCACTTTGGAATCATTCCTGAATTCCCAACAACTAGTGCAGGAAATAGAGATATTCTTGTGAACGCGTCAACTTGGACAATACCACAAAGCTTATTACCGGAACTACAATCTCCACCATGATTCAATATGCAGCTTGACAGCCCACAACCAACCTCCAATTTCCGAATGTACAAACACAATATGCGGTCAGAAAATGTTATCAAAATATCTTCATCTTAACTTCAAACATGTGAGAAGATAGAGAAAAGCCAACCAGATCTACTACTGGTGCTCCGTGAAGGGAGCAATTTAAAAAATTTTGGAAGTGAAAAGGAGAAGCATCTTGTAATGAACAAGAAAACCCATTTCGTAGCATCAACATAATTCGAAGGGAATCAGAATATGCATATATAGATAATCTTCTTGGAATAAGTAAATATTACATGTCCAATAGAAACAAGGCAGATCTTCCAGAAGCAGTTCTTCAACCAAGATCAAAATTAAAAGATATTTACAAGTTCCTCTAAGATCTATATACATAGTTCAGGATGACTTGCACTTCAGCGGCTTCCAAAAGTATTCTCTCCACTGTAAGTCATATATAGGAAACCATCTTCATCTTTGTTTTCCTCATAAATTGCAGACATCATAGCAGCTGCAGTAAGAAGACAGATAAATATCAAAAAGAAAGGCCAAATTGCAAGTATGTATTTTAATCCTTAGTCATATTAAGACTCATAAAAGTAGAGAAGATATAAAACTCAAGTTCCTTCTTTACCAGTTGGAGGAGAATGTTCTTGACAAAGATGAATATGGCCTTCTCAGCACTGAGCTTAATCCTCTTGCGGACAACATAGACAAATTGCCCAACTGTCAGATCAGCAGGCACCAAATACCTACAGATGACCAGAGTTAGAGAAAAGTGCGATAGCTGGGAAAGAAGGCTGCAGAAGCATGATGAGTAAAAGATGAGAAATCATATGCTGAAGGTGAAGAATCAGCTGAACTCATGATGACCATAATCAGAAGAAAAGAATTTCCTCCACTTGTTCTTCAGTAAGGAAAACAATAACCAACTTTATATTTGTAGGAACAATTTAATATTTTCTTGTTACAAGCAAAAGGCACTTCAACACTGAAGAGGCTAGCTACTCCAAGTAAGAAATTAGACACATTGATACAATTACCAACTCATCATATGAAGGCAAACATGTGAGATTATGAAGTGACTAACTTTTTCTTGTCAATGTCAGGTATATCACTCTTTTCAGCCTTTTCCACAATGACCTGCAAAGCAAAAACAAAGCAACGACATTAACACAGAATACAAGTATCAGCTATTGCGAAAGGTACAATCTTGCGAGTACATCAGACAGTGATTTCTTCAGTACCGGAATTCTATCAGGGTACTTCTCCCTGATTCGAGCTGCCTCAGCCTGTCGCCTTTCTGGAAAATCATATAACCATATCATATACTATGGAGAATCATAAGATGGGAAAAAATCAGAGAAGGAACATGTTTTACTTACTAAATAAACAGTAAAAGAAAAAACAAAACAAACAATAACCATAGGCCTAATGGCAATAAAAAGCATCTCATATTTCTTGTAAATACACTAGTACTAATACAAAATCTGTTCGTCCGTAAACTGTAGAAGACCAACTTTTTCATCATCTTTTTCAGCAATATCTTGACATAATTCATTGACTATTAATCTTTTTTCCTTTAACTATCAAAACAAAAAAACGCAATATGTTCTATGTGCACAATCTCAACTGCAAGAAAATCAAGAACCCGTTAAGACAAATAGTTGTCAATCTCAGCGACTATCAATCAACAAGCTAAAAAGCACAAAAGGATCACCAATTCAATCGATCCCAAATAGGAAATCACCAATAAAAAGCCACTTAATTATGAACAAAAAGTATAATCCAATCAAATCAAATCAAGATACCGAGAGGGTGCTCGAGCTTGAAGGAGCTTTTGGCCATGATGACGAATCGACGATAAATCAAAGCTACCTCTAGGGTTTCGCTAACTGCGATTCGAAAGGCCTGAAAAAACTAAAATTTAGGGTTAAAAATTAGAGCTTTCCCCTTTATCTTTATCTTTTTTTATTCCCTTTCCAAGAAATAATCGAATTAAAAGTAAAAGATTGAGAAAGGCGTTAAACAAAAAAAAAAAAAATTTCTACCTCGAGAGATCCAGACGGCGGTTTAGTTGTCTGATCAAAGGAATAATTACAGAACTGTCCTCTCAAACTGAAAATTGGGGAGGTTTTGATCGCATAAATATAGTTGCTGCCGTGTGGCCTTGCGTCTTGTTTCGCGTTAGAACTTCTATTGCTAAGGGCCTAAGGCTTTCCAAAACGTCGACGTTAGTAGCTTTGCATCATTCGATTAATTACATTATTCTCTTTTGGGTGCGATAATTACAAGTTGGTCCTTTAAGTAGCCAACAATTTTTAGCTACCCAAAAATATATCAATTTGACCTTTTTCACTACATAATTTTTGCTTCAGTTTGGCTCTTGAATGATGATATAGATTGATTAGTCGTCCAATTACTCAATGATGGATAAGCGATATATACAATTACAATGTCCCAACTGTATAATGCAATGTAGGTATCCATCATATATCAAACGTACACACTAATATAACAAGTATAGATAATGACACCATAATTCGTAAAACTACAATAAATCTTGACACTTCAAAAAAATTATGTTTCCTGTAATCAATCTCATCCAACCCAATTTCAAATTAAATCCATTTTTATCATTAATTGCACTCTACAATCAAAATTGTAACTGTAGGAGCCCTAATCCCTCAATGAGGGCTGATCTATGGTGTAGGTGATGATTGAAGTTGAAGAAAATATGGAGCATACAAACTGAGAAGGATAAATAAAGTAAACTAATATGGAAATTCCAAAGATGATTTACAAGAATAAGAGTATCTGGTATTCATACTAAATTTCATTTTGTCCCCTTCCCTTTTGGGGATTATGAGTTTTGTTGATTGCTAGTACCATTATACTAGAGATATGCACCTAGAAGTATCAACTTTATGGTATGACCATTGATTAGTTAAGGGAAAAAGTCTCAATAGCTCTCCAACTCTTTTCCAGGTAAAGTTTTAGCCGTTCAACAATTAATAATAAAGTTTTGACCCTCGATCTAATAAAATAGCATATTCGTGGCTCTTCTGTCAAACCCAACAGTTAAAATTGACGGGAAACATCATCTCATGAGACGTGCGACCAAATATCAAAAGTATTATAGTCTCTAAATAAAGACAGAGTAAAAACACTTTCACCGATTTTTCCTCCAACAATTTCCACCCCTTTTGCTCTAAAACCCTAGTGCGAAAAAATCAGATAACTCAATCCGGATGCTGCAGCGAAAGTGCTAATTGCCAGCGTTGGAGAGGTTGTAAAGGCAGAAATGGAGTGGCAAATACGGGAGAATATTGCAGGGATTTGCGAGTATATATCGGTGGTGGTGTTGAGAGATAATTGGTGGCAGCTCTAACCTTCGACAAGGAGTCATCGCTTGGAAACAAGGAGCAGCTTTTTGGGTCGCCGGAGCTGAGGGATTGGAAGATTAAAGCTAAGCACTCGTCGGGAATCTTGGAGGTATAATCTTGCCCATCCCCGAAAATAGGGAGAGTAAGCTGAGCAATGACGTCGGTGGAAGAGACGGCGTCCGGTTGATTAGCGGTGATGCAGCGGCAGTGGCTGGAAGTCGGGCTTGACCTACCCGGTGAGTATACATGTATAGAAGCAGACTGACCCATTATCCGGAGAGAGAGAAAATGAAGAGCTTATGCGTCTTTGGTCATATGTTATTAACTTAATAGTCCGGCAAGGACTGTGGAAGTAACACGCTGGCGGTGTGATGGGATGGATGGACTCCGTTGATTTCCTTTCCTTATATGGGGGCTTTGAGAAAATCCAATTCGCACATAGAATAGAAAAAATTGGGCAATGGGCTTCTCAAGGAGTTGAAATTGGGTCTAGCCGGAATGTTCATTTGAAGATTTTCGAATGCTGCAACGAAAGTACTAATTGCCAGCGTGGGAGGA